AAAACGTGGGCCTACCTTAGACTCACCACTTGACCACTTGCCGACCTTCTAGAAGGACTAAAGCTGGGCTTCTGGACTCTACTTGGACTCCTACCCTACAGGTCTACAGTTCGAATCTTCCTWCRKCCTACAACCTACGGTGACCTACTTACCACTGGCTATCGTGCAGGTCACGGGTTCAACTCCAGGGAACTGTACAGATACTGTACACAGGTAAGCTGAGGTCAAGGGATCGACCCCTGGGATCTGCATCGGCTACTGCCCAAGGTGAAAACTGTTTCATAATAATAAATTAATAATAAATTAATAATAAATTAATAATAAATTAATAATAAAGAATAGCAATTGCAGAATCATATTTACATTTAATAAATTTTATTGAAATTTGAAACCAAATTTAGGTGTCTATGTTACTAATGACAGTGATAGATTATCTTTTCTCTTTTGGTGCCGGTGTGTTGACCGATCCAATTTTATCTGTGTCCAGGAGCACGAGCTGGGACTGGGGCCCGACATCCCTCGTATATATCCACAACATTTGAGTTCTTGCCACCTACCTTATAGCCCACTCCCAGATGACCCTGCTCCCCTAGCCCCTATTCCAAGGGGGATCACTTTGTCAGATGTCCACAGCTTCCGACCGTAGTCCGGCCCCTACCGGCCCCTGGAGCAGGGGGCCTGCCTGTCTGCCGTCACCGCTGCTGTTGTAATGTCCTCTCTTGCACTTGCGGGGTTAATAACTGCCAAGTTTTGTGTTTGCCGTCAGCGGGTACGAGTTCCAATTGAAACAGAAAAAAACAGAAAAAGAAGCTAGTGCAGTGTCTCACTTGCGAAGTTGAGAGGATAATGACGGTTGATCTTCCATATCTCAGACAGCTATCGATCCCTGTAAGGGGGATGGAGGCCTGGATGAAACGAGGTGCACATGCAAATGAACCCACTAGGACTTTTTGATATCTATGACTCGCGCTCCATCGGCAATACTGCAGTGCAGTGTTCATAACTTCCTAGTGATCCCTCCCTAAGGCTCCACAGCCAACGCATTTCCTTATTCATTTTTGAAGACTTTCCAGCGCCAAGGCCTTCATCGCAGGGGCAGTACAGGATCCAGTGGCTTCAGTGCGGCTGCTGCTTGAACAGACCCCCAAAAGAATTCTTATTTTTGGCAAAAGACGCCTTGTCACGGCCAATTTGAGAAACGTTGAAAGTAGCCGCCAAACGCGGGGGAAGCAGCTGAACTGAAAACAGCACGAGGACAGTCGAGCACCACAAAAGGAAAATATCGATGTACTGCTGGTGGAGCCTTGAATACTTGGGGGAATTTCCCTGAAGTAGGCTGGTGCAGAACAAACCTATTTTAGGAAAGTGGACAGCTGTTTTTTTACACTGCTAGTTCTCAATTCATCATGCAGTAGCTAGTTTTCTTTTCATGAAGTGCCAAAAACTTTAAAACTGTTGTTTTTTTTTTTTATAAACAAATTCCTCATTTTTTTTTATTAATAACTCAGAGAGTCGGAGGTATTTTGGCATGAAGAGGAAAGAAGTGTACTGTGGAATCTTCGGTGAAATTGGAATGATGCAGATGCAATAAAACTTATAAAGTGATGTCATCTGTGAAAAAAAAGAAAAAAGAACGGAATGATGCAGAGAAAATGCCCACGGCCCGTGCACAAAAGAAAAGGAGGGTGACACGTGGAAATGGAGAAATGGTCCAACTTTGGCGAGGAGTTATAAAAGAAAAGAGGGTGAACATTGTATTGAAGGCCTCGCCACAGCTGCCTGCTCAAGAAACAAAAACAGCTGGCTGCTCAGAAGAACACCCAGGCACATCTAGGGCCTCTGCCCAGATTCCATGTGATACTGATCTGGGCACACGTCAGCAGCAATCTGGCCAGGAAATCAGGCTCAGTTCGTACTTACGAGCATAGACCAGGACTATCAGGTACCACATTTACAGAACAATTTATGGGTCTTTTTTTCCGCCTGCTGCTCCCTTTTCGGGGCATTCGCCAGAAGCAACATCATGCGGGGTTCTTCGGTTGGAAGCTCTTGTCATGCTGTGACACCACCTTCTTCTTTTTCTTCTTTTCTTAATGTGGCACCAACTCCAGTCGTTGGGAAATCAGGGTCTGCCCAACGATTTGTCGGTCTGTCTGTCTGTCTGTTGCCTGTCTGCCTGCCTGCCGGTTCATCTGTTCGTCTCTGTTGGTCTGTTTGTCTCTTTGTTTGTGCATGGATTTGAGTGTCATTTTACCCTCTCTCTCTCTCTCTCTCTCTCTCTCTCTCTCTCTCTCTCTCTCTCTCTC